CTGTGGGGTACACTTGAAATTCTTCTAAAATTGTACACTCTGAAAGTGTCTTTTTGAATACCGGGAGACTTACAGGCCACCTCGGCTTGAAGGACACTCCACTAAAATCCTGGGTTTAAAAGGGGTGCTTAGTCAAATACACAGCTATTAAGAGCCTCTGTCCATCAACGGTTGCATCCAAGAGTTTTCAGAAATAAAGTGGATCAAAACAGTGATGCAGAAAGGAACTGCAGGCTCACGCAGCAAAACAAAAAGGAAAAAAACTGGATGGTAAGGAATGGAAATTATCATTTGCTGCCTTTCATTCACCAGGCCCTCTTCAACAACCAAACAGGAAAAAACCCAGAGTTTAACAGAGTTAATGGAAGACAAATGAGTACAAAGGAAAATATTCCTCCCTAATTTTCTAGGCTCTGCCTACACAGGTGAACATTAACTATAAAATATACAAATAAAACAATCCCTATTCAACAGCATTATTTAATCAGTAATGTTAAGGTCTAAAGCAGAGTATTCAGATTACGTAAATATTGTACCAGTATCTCCAAGACTATGAAAAATCCTTTAAACTCATTTCTTCCGGATCTCTTTGTACTTTGCACGCTGTGACAGAATGATGCTCCCATCAGTCAAACAGGACCGTGTCTCAACAAAACCACTCCCTGCCAGAGGTTGATCTCCCCATGCAGCACGACAAAGGATGCTGCAGTCAATTCCCATCACGCATCTGGGAAGACCGAGTGACAGCGCACTGGGATTGTCTATGGGAGTCCCAGCATTAACTGAAGGTCTCTCTCTCACCCATAGACAAGTGACTGACAGATGTGCTGTGCAGCCGCAGCTTTTCACGCATTTTAGGTGACGCAGCCAAGCCGCGGTTGGCCTCAAAGTCACCTTGAATGGCAAGAAGTCAGCTGCAGCACAAGGTTCCTCGAGGACAGATGGAGACACTTACACTGACAATAAATGGGATAACAGTTAAAGAGCTGTTAATTCTTACACTTCTGGGCATGATGTCCAGCTGTAGGCAAGACATCTATTTCCCAGTGGTACACCCCCATAAAATTAAAGACATGAAGTAAAGGAGAATGTTATACCCTTCCTCTGAGTCTAAGGAGACTGACATTTGCTGCAAACAGAGAGCAATTGGTCCTGGGGATTTATACATATCATGAGAGATGACATGAATTTTGTCTGTCATGTCCCAGCACTCAGCACTGAGGCTAGAGGAGAAATTATGAGATCAGCAAATCAGACTTAAGAGACAAGCCCCTGTTGCAACTAAAGAGCTGAAAAAAGAGCAGGGAAAACCTAAAGGGAGAAAGCAGAGAATGCTGCTAAACGGCTGAGGTGACCCATGCACCAAAAGCTGTCAGCTCTCAAACTGCCCACCTGAGCCTGGGATGTGCTAAACTGTTACCAGAGACATCTGATACAGGTGAAGAGACAAATTTATCTGTGTATTGGCCCTATGCTTAGTTAATGAAGGTGTTTTGATCAGCATGTTCTTTTGGGAAGAGGCTGCTTGTCAGCAATGGTTACGGCTTCCATCTAAAGCCATGAAACCCAGCATCACAGCCTGGTTACAGTTACACACAAACCCTTCCAGCTCCTTCACACCAACTTCTCAAAGCAGTTCTCTAAAAGACCCCAAAACCTCTCACTCCATTCTTGAAAAACTTAGAGCCGAACAGGACAGCTACTTTATTCACCTGGGTACTCATGAAACCAAATTCCAGTCCATGTTTTAAGCACCTGATCATCCTGGTTACAAGTTTACGCAGATACAAGCAGATTTACCCACCATTCATTTCCTACACAACTCTGCAGCTTTTTTTGTCTTTTTTTTTTTTGGTAATGCTGATGCTCGTTCTACAATGAGAGCAGAACCAGCATTTAAGAAGCTGATCTTTAAACCTCAGCCTGGTTATTCTGCGTGTTTTACAGCCCAGGCAGGTTCTGCTGTGGTTGGCAGAACACTGCATCCATCTGGCAGGCAATTAGCACGGCTCTGTCTATGTTCCTCTGAGGTGAGCCGTTACCTTCCTGTGCGAGCTCTCTCCTACGCAATGTGTATCGTCCTCAGTAGAGCAGAATCCAGATTTCATCCCCAGGATAATGTCCAGGAGAACATTACATGGCTGATTTTGAACCTTACCTTGTCTCCAGTCTCATGAGCACTGGTAGGACAAGACAGACGCATCGCTAACCTGCGGGAAGGAGAAGGATCCCCTTCCAGCGCAGTAGGAGTTTGTATGTGCAGAGCGCTGCCCAGGTGAGAATTTCCAAGAACTTTATAAATGAGTATATGACAAGAAAAAAGCCCAACAATCTAATTGTACCTGAGAGCACAGAAATCAATAGAGCTGGTTTTTAAATTCAGTAAAACTGCAGTAGCTAACCAAAAATCACACACTCCAGGATGTCTCTCTCCACAAATTTTCTCTCCACAAACCTGCAGGCAGCTCAAGTGTACACACACAGCTGATATTTCATTAAGTCCCTGTTTAACTTAAAATGAGATTTAAACAAACCTCTTGCCCTTACAGTGTAACGGCATTCATAGCTCATCTGGAACCTGATAGTAAGGTATCAAAGGGTTAATTAACACGTATGCAGCGCGTGGTTTAGGCAATATTAAATGGAAATCTCTGAACAGACAAGTGTCACTGAGTGCAATGGAAATAAATTGGGCGTCTCCTTCCACACTTCAACTTTCTCTCCCTAGATTTGCTCAGAGCTCTCGATGCTGCTTGTTCAGTAATTTCACGCTACGCTGCTTAACAATGTAAGCATGGAGGCTCAATCTAAAACTGCACTTCCCAAATGTCACTTGTTTGTGAACACATGGCTGAACCCAAAATTGCTTTTAATATTAGAGTGGTGCCTGCTGGCACTGCTGTAGCTAAGGGTCTGTCAGAATTTCCATGATAAACCCCATTTTCTGGGGTGTAATACCATGACCATTTGCTACAGATAAACCTGGTATACAAGGTCACAGCAGACAAGCACGATATTTAGAATTTTCAAACCAAGTTTGCGTGGCTATTTTTGAGTGTAGGACACTTAACACCGATTTGAGGCCTCTTACGGCTCTAGGTTTTTCTTACCAGACCTTTAACTCCAGAACAAACTCAAATGTACCACTCCAGCCTCCACCTCTGGCTGCCACTGGGTCTGGTCTGCAGCCTTGGTGGGACATGGGGAGATCAAACACCAGTGTAGGGTTCACTACGTCAACAGTGATGCAGGACAGGGAGGACAAACACAGAACAGGAAAATCCTCATGCTGGAAGTGATGAGAATTATTTCAGTTGCCAATTTAGAGGTGTTACCCCACTGGCACGGTGACTTCACGTATGTTATATTTCATGGCACTGCCACTAGCATGCCTGAGAAAAGATGCTTTTACACCTCTGTAGTTTCAGAACAGAAATAAATCTATTTGTTTATTTTAGAAAAAGAAGAGAGCTCAGATCCCAGTGGCAGACTCCCTGAAACTATGGGATGGATATTACTGAGAAAAAAAACAACCACAAGACAGACACTTCACCTGTCAGGAACCTGAAGGGCTGAGCTTGCTTTCTGTGGGATGAACTTCTCAGATGTTGCAGTTGCTGAGGGAGGATATACAACACCAAAGAGGGGGGGAAAAGCAGGAAAAAAGCTCCTGTAGCGTGACAACCATCTCCCTTTTCTCGTTGGGTTAATGAGGTGCACTTATTAAAAAGGAAAAATAGGAAGAAACAGCATGGGGTATTTTGTGGTTCTACAAGATCGGTTGAAGCCTGTGGCGCCAGAAACAGCAGTGGCCTCCAAAGCAAAGCCGAGCAACTCACCTCAGTCACCAAGCAACCACTCGGGCAGATTAACACACAACATTGATCACTACCGAAATGAATTCTGAGCAGAAAGTTTCAGCTTAGCTCAAAAGCAGCCAAAGGCATTACAGTGAAAAGGCAGAGGGTTAAAAAGGGCGATGTCAAGGACCTCAGAATCCCAAAGCTGAGAAGAGAACGATGCCATTCAGTAATCATCCACCTTTTGCTACTCAGAATATAAAAATTTGTAAAGGAAAAATGGACATCACTACATTATTCTGTGGACACAGACACACTTGCAGTTCGTTCTGAAGAGAGTTGGTTTTGCCCAGAACAAAGCATCAGGATGCATTACAAAAGTTACAGAGTCAAGCGGAGCTGACAGAAGAAAAATAAGTGAAGGAGATACTATAAATGCTATTCTGGAGTGAAAACTAAGTCTGCCTTTCTGCAAAGGGACATCTGAGGCAATTTTAAATGTAATAATTTCTCCTTTCCCTGAAGACTTATGTGGAACTGAACCCTCATTTAAAAATTCACAGATCCTATTGAATCGGTTAAGCTGATCAGTTATACTTCACACTTCAAAACAAGAGGATGCAGCATGTGTACTGCCGTGAAAACCATCACGGACTTGAGACCTGTCAAAAGTAACAAAACATACAGGAAATCTGCCCTAATGAGAAATAGCCACACAAAGCCATTCCAGCATAACTCTCCTCTTCAGACTTAACCGAGAGCTTCTGTACAGTGCATAGAGAAATTCAGATATTTTCAGAAGGTTATTACCATCGTCTTATTAAAGCTTAAAACTATCTCCAGCTCATTCCTTCCCCTTCAACATGTACCTAATGAACTGTATTCAAGTTACATCAGTCAGCGTATTCAGTGTGAAATGCAGTTTAGATGCATCAGAAAACTAACCCTAACTTACCAGTCTCAAAACAGCCTCTTCACAAAGCGTATGTAACATCGAGCATGTGAGAAAGTCATTACTATGCCCTCAGAATGACACAAACTATCAACGGGCATAAAACTGCAACACAGTACAATGAAAGAGCACATCGTCAAAACAACGGCACCTTCCATTTTGCTCTTAAGGTGAGGTGTCCCACTCTCATTTCTTTGTATATCATGAGCTGGGGGTTTTAAGTAACCTTCATCCAGACAGACACCTACTTGAGTTGCCATTTTTCCATAGTCAATCCATCGCAAAGTGGCAAAGTTGGTAGACTCGGCGCAGTTGAAGCCATGATTGAAGCCAGCATGGTAACCATAAGGAAATGTAATCATGAACTCTCCAGCTTCCTGGGTGATCTGAAAAACAAAACCAGAAAGAACAGAGACCTATTAAAAAAATTCACTGGTTAAATCTCAACTCGAGGGTAGGCAGAACAGTCACTACAAACTCTTGGCTAAACCGAGGACAATGTCTTGTTAACTGCAGAAACACTGAAGTATTTCTGTTAAGGAAAAAAAAGCCAGTACACTGGATGGAGGGCTCACAAGATCTGAACTATTTAGACTCACAGGCTCCAGTGACAAAAAGGGTCTCAGGCTGTAGCATCCCAAAAGATCAATGCACTTTGGGATCATGACCACTTCAGATTTGAATTTGCCACGAGCTACACTCTCATCACCATGCTTGTGAAGCCAAGAAAACCCCATCTCACTCCTACCATGAACTACAGAGTGCACGGTCCTACTGGAGTGCCTGCTACCTTTCATTGCATTTACTCCTCATTTACTCACATATACTCTGTGAGTAGCAGCTACCATGTAACTCACAACACAGCCGTTCAGAGCCTACAGAGATTTGTAAGAACTTGCACCCATAAACACTAGGATGGGTCCAACCAGAAAATGCAACCAGCCAGAAGTTAAAAACTTTACCCACTAGACCAGTGTGTCTAGACTAACATCTAAACTTGCTAATGATATTAACATTAGCAGAATATTAAAAAAAAATTAAAATTTATCTAAGATAATACAAGAAGCTTCTGCGTTATTTGTGAATGAGAGGGGCTGAAGTCCAGCCTGTACCCAGCTCCACAGAGCATCCTCCTGTCCAGCCCCTCAATAAATCAAAGTGGAGTGGCAGATTGCTAACTTCAGAAGACGGAAAGATTATGTTTCTGTCAGGAAATCTACATCCTGGTGTCTTCATTTGAAGCCCACAGTGTACGTCCTCCATGTCACTGCTGTCAACATTATCCCTACAATAAATTAGAAAGCACTCAAGATGATGGATAGGCCATGCAAAAAAGTAATAACTATTGAAGGAAAGCCAGCGCAAACTGCCACTCATGGAGAAAGCCCTAAATTTACTGACTTCTGCAGGCTCTTGAAGAATAAATGGAGAAATCAATAGCAGATTACAGAAATACACATTTTTAATTATTAAAAAGGCTCAGTATTGATCTGTTTCTTTTTTTCCAGAAGTAAATACCATTATAGAGATTTATAAATGTGTGCCTATTCACTCCATTGAAATCTGCCAGGAATTCAGATGAAGGGATCCTATCTATCTCTGTTTCAAAAGAAAAATGCCATGTGTTCACCATTTCTGAATAATAGTGATCCTCCTTCAGAAGCTACTATTTCAGGTCAGGAGCTATTCAGATATACACTGCTAAGTCTAAAGAGATCTCCTCCTCCTTTTTACATTGAAAAACATCCTTCCAGTGGGTGCCACAGAGAAGCTACCACAAAAATCACTTTACCCACACTCTGTAAATCAGGATTAGGAATTACATTTAAGTAATGTGTTAATAATCCCCCTTCCTTTAAAAAGTTTGGTTTTGATAGTAACATAGTCCTCTACGCATACACTGGTCTGTTCTATTTTCTGTAAAAATAAGGAGACAAAAATCACATTCTTAGCATTCAGACAGTGCATTTTAAAGGTTCCTACATATACCCAATATGAGGGAGACACCAGACATCCGTCTGCAAAAAACCTTCCTGTCACAAATCACAGAGGGAAGATTCATGGGGGGAAGCCTAGCTAAGCAGGAAAAGACGTTTTACCAAGCAATAAATCAGAAACTCCCATATTTAAACCACTTTGTATCCCACCCCTAACACCAGACAGCTCAGTAAAGCTGACTCAGGATAAGCCTGGAAGGGAAGTTTTCCTCTCCTGCCTTTTTACAAACTCCTTTGCTCCTTTTGCTCAGTTATCGATCAGAAATCACTCAGTGTATAACTGAGTCAAAGCCACTTTCCTCAGATGGAAAAGCAAACAGAACAAATTATTATCCAGGAGAAAAGAATGCCCACCTACAATAGTCAAACATTTGAAGCCCTGCAAGAATTTCCTTCACTTTCTGACCTCTGCTCCTTTAGCAGGAAATTATGAAATCCTGAAATTATTATTTTCAGCTTCTTCTTTGGCTAAGCAGTGCACACCTTTCAGGCTCTGTTCAGCCAATTATTGCACCACTTATGGCTTCTGGTTAAAACAACTTCATAAAGAAAACGCTGCAAGAAGTAGCAAGACAAAGCGTTCAACTAATACTGAAGCATAAGAAATCCTTAAACTTCAGTTTAGGCCACTAAAGAAAGATAAAGTCAGATTTTTCTGGAGCTTGCACTAGTTGCAGATTTTGTACTCTTCTCTGAATATGGTCGGGATAGAGAACATCTTTTATCCTCTATCAAAAGTCATTTCTCAGAGGGCATCTGTGCATTAAACTGAGATTCCACTCCACATACTTACTGTCTTGAGATCTGTAAAGTGAAAACCCTTACCAAAACATTCAGATCCCACAATTAGATCTTTTCATTATTATTCTCAGCCATGTGTAGCAGGTAGCTGTGCTTCCACACTTGGGAATTAGGCTCCACCGACAGAATTACAAGAAAAATGGTTTGTTGCTCTCAATGAACAATTTAATATCATCATGTGCAAACTAGGCCAAGCCCGGCCACTGATGTTGAACCATAAGCACCACATTGCTTAATGCGATTCTCCCCTGCACTGACAGCAAACCCATCTGACAAGCCAGATGATCACACTTCAAATTTCATTCATCACAGCCTTCCACTAGGAAAAATTAGAGTCTCTGGAGCAGTAAATTGAATGAATTCATAGTTTTGATGCTATAAAAGAGCCAAGATCTTTTACTTTCATAGCAAAGAATCACCGGGCTCATCAAACAGGTGCTACGCTTTGTCTCACTCAGGTGGACTAACTCTAACAAAACCATGCTTAAAACAAATAAACAAGATCAGAACTCCAGAGTTCTCACTTAGGAAAAGACGGCCATAATAATATCTACAGACGACAATGCAAAGGGGACGGGGAAGGATGAAATCAGTTTGAATGAGGCCTTCTGTGACACTTCCCACTGGAGTTAAGAGTTCTGGTACCTCTAACTCAATGCTTTTCCCCACATCAAAAGGCAGGACTGGCTCTGTGTGCCCGTAACACTCAGCAGCAGGAGCTGTTTGACTGATTCTGCACAGATACTAAATCCGTGGTAAGCATGCTTGGCTGAGGAGATTTACTTCTTGCCAGAAGACTTTAAGAATAAGCACATTAAAACAATCATACCAAATAAACATGACCCCTCCTTTCAAATAAGAGGGTTTAAGAGATTCATGGGGCCTCACTGGCTTAGAACGAGCGCTTACACAACAGAGCCAGCACGTTTAACTGCAGTTTGTGGTTCATACCGGATCCAGGAGAAAAAAAAGACTCAATAATTACCAATGAGTTATGCTATTAATAAGCCACAGCATCTGTATTACGGTTTGCCCCTCTCTACCTGGAGAGGCTCCCTAATTGACAACGTTTCTTTTAGTGAAAGCCTTTATGAAGAGAAACCCTTGACAGAAAGTGTCTCAGCCAAACCACAAATCCTCATTTACAGGCAACCACCTGGTTTAAACCGATAGGATACATTTAGCATAACAAAGCATTTAGAAATTAACCAAATTGCTCCCCAGTGGCTTGCAATGAATGGTTTCATTAAAAGAGGGGTGCTGTGCTTTGTGCACCCCAACACTTGAAGCGTCTTCAGTGCATGCTTGGTACGTACCCGGTCAAAAGGGATGCCGTACTTCTTTAAGATCGAGGGCGAAATGAGGGTCATCTTGTGACGGAGGAAAGCATCACAGCCCTGAGAGCTTCCCGGAAAAAATCCTGCAGAAACATGAAAAAGAGGAGCATCACGACAGGAATATTATAGCAAATCATTATTTAAGCAGAGACAAGCTGACAAAATGAAAACTTGCCTAATGGCTTATATAGATCAAAACAGTAGGCATAAAACTGAAGATGTTAGTAATTAGCACATCCTTCATTGTTTAAAATACCACATAAATTTGGTGACAAAATCTTGCACATTGAGGCATGTAAATCTAAATTCCAGTCGAGATGAGAGTTAGTATGCAAGATTTCTATGTCTGGGAATAACTTGGTCAAAATTTCAGTAAAATAAAGAAAATTAAGAACCAGAACCTGGCTGTCTCAAGTTTTGGCTAATACCCTAAACGCCAAGTCATCCTTCTTCTGAATACGGAAAGAGCGATGAGCATGCACCATCTACTGCAAACACTGCTATGGCCTTTTTATACCTTCTCTGATACGCAGCTACGTTATTCCTGGGGAAATAAAACAACTCATAAGATTCCAGACCAATCTACCCCACACACCATCCCCTACAGGTTAAAAAAACCCAGTATGTACATGTTCATATTCAGTCAAATGAAAGAAAGGAAACAAAACGTGTCCATCACAAGTGGAAGGAGGACACTCGTGCGTGGTCACTGTGGTCACTGTCTGGTCTGGTAGAGACAGCATGGTCTGACCCAGCATCTCAACACTGGGAAGTGTTAAATAGCTAAAAGATCCAATTAAAACAAATCAAATAATTAAAAACACTAAAATTGCAGTAAAAACTGAACAAACCCCTAGATATCAGCACTTCACTCCCAGAAATGTCAGCTGAACCACTGCAACACCATTTTGTTCAAGACCATGTGTTCCACTCCAAGCGGGTGATTCAATAACAAATTATGTGTTTATATGGATTACAGAACATCACCATTTAGGCAAATAAATAACCCGAGCTCTGGAAACAAAACTAATTGATGAGACATAATGGAAGGGGTTTCAGAAAGTGAAAAGGATTACTGGATTCCAGGTTTTCTTATATTTTTGTACTAAAAGCATTTCAATTAAAATTATGACTGTCTGCTACCCAGTCTGTCGTCCCTCTCTGCAGTTCCTCTTTTTAATGCACAGTTTAAGTGGCTCTCATTAAAGCTACTAATAAAGAAGCACATTTTAAGTGATTAGCACCAATAACATGGCAACACATTAACATTCTCTCCATGGGCTCCATAGCTCTCCCAGTGAGCCCATTTACAGCTCAGCTATTCATTTTCCATATTAATTGCACACTCATTTCCCCATAGGAAAATTCTTCATCGTAGAGACCGCTGGTGCATAGGACAGGGAGAATGCCCAAGAAGTAACACGGCTTCATTGTAGTTTCAAAACATGACCCAACTTCCAAAAGATAGCAAGCAACAGAAAACTAAAATAAAGACAAAATCACCGATAATTTGTTTCTGGTTTATGCATTGCCAACCATTGATGTGCCTCAAAAATTGACCGTCAGTAAAAATAAGTTACAGATGGCTTTAACAGATTAAAAAGTAACTTTTATAAAATCTGGCAAATGACTGAACCGTAGCTTTGAAACACAACATTTCTGAGCAGCAATTTTCCATGTTATTTGTACTTATGGATTATGGCTCTCAGTGCAGAGAAAAACAGCGCTACCATGCCCTGGGATATCTATACCCATTTATGCTACATTTATCCTACACAACCAGTTGCTCCCTTTTATATTTGAGTAGGAAACAGTCAATAGAACGTCAGCTAGAAATGTCGTTACTACGAGTTTGCCCACTTTCTGGAGAAACAGTTATCAGAACTTCTCTAATTTTGCATCAGAATACAGTCTTCCAGATTTTCCTGCCTGCTTCTCTGCTGCACTAACTTCAACAACAGCTTTCAATCATTAAAGTATGCCTCACTGGAGATGAAACACAGAGATTTGGAGTTAATTATTCCGGGACAGGAGCTTTTTTTAGCTGGGTAGTGCCTAGAACATTTGAAAGCAAGCGAAAATAGCAACAAAAAAAACAAACACAACATCAACAAATTAGAAATTATGTACTTCTGCAGTCAGACATCTCTTCCCTGAAGCTCCCAGTGTTCCCAACTGGAAATCAGCAGAAAAGCCAAGGACAGGACGCCCAAATCCGCGCTCGCAGCTTGCACTGGGGGCAGGCGGCCGCTGGGCAGGGACTCACACAGGAGGTGTGCTCAGGGCAGCTCAGCTCCATCAAAACCTTACACCCGAGGAGAGCTGGAAGTTTATCACAGCTTGAGCCAGTCCTGCTCTTTCTTTTTTCCCCCATTTTTTCTGCATTTCCTTGGTTTGGGTTTTTTGGTGTGTTTTGTTTGTAGAGTTCTAGGGGTTTTTTGTGGTTTTGTTCATTTATTTATTTATTTATTTTAATTTAAGATGGCCTTTACTATACTGAAGAGATAGAGGAGCATGAGGCTGGAATAAAAGGAAAGCCACCAAGTATGCTGTGGATCACTACAGAGGGAAGTGAGAACCAGATACTCTCCATGATCACTGTGGCTGAATTTGTAAGTGCTTTCCTTCTTCAAACTGAAAGTAGTCAATGCATACGTATATTATACACATATATGTGTACTGTATATGGAACATTTATACTGGAGGAAGAAATAATAGCTCCTAGCACCATCTGCCCCTACAGAACACGTGTATGAGGGTATCAGAAGAGCCCCCAGGCTGCACTCCATGCAGCTGGAGCAAGCTGTCATCTCAGTGTGACCAACCTCGTATAATACACGATGGGTCTCTTATTAAACCCATTTCCCAGACCTGGAAGCATTTGGTCTCAATGCCTCAAAAATCAAGAGTTTTTCCATCCATTCTAGTGAGGGTGGCAATGTGTCAGAAAACCAAGGTTTTGAGACAAACAGCTGCACTAGGAGGAAAATTTGCTGACGAGCTTTCTGACGCTGGAGCTGTTGTACCCATGCAGCAGGTTCATCAAGCCAGATTGAATTATAACAGCCACTTCAATGGCAATTCTTTAGCAATCCATTAAAAAGCCAAGGGTAGGATTCTCCCCTGGGATGCTCCTCCTTTCACCCCTACACCCAAGCTTACCTTTCGCCAGGCGTTCCAATCTCTTGCCGTGCTCTGGAGGAATGGCGTACCTAGGAGAAATTTAATAAGAAATATATAACAAATATAATAAATCTAATAATTACAATAGAAGTAACAACAACAACAAGAACAACAATAATAATATCTATAAAGCAACAACAGTGAAAGAAAAAGAAGGCTAGAAATAAGTGTGGTAGTAACCTCCAGCACAGCACACTTAAAATTAACGTCTGGAAATACAACCAAAAGTTTACAAGTCTGGAAGGTATCAGTAACACATAATTATAATACATGGAAGAGAGTCAGTATTTTATTAAAAGTCCTTAGACATGTTATATGATGTGTGTTATTTTCCTGCATTTTTTCTCAACAGCATAACAGGACTTCACAAAGTAGAAGGAGAACTGAGAAGACTGGTGATACAGCACTGGAGAAAGCAGAAATAAATCAGCACAGGGAACAGCAGGCATGTTCTCCACTGGAAAGATATCAGCGAAATAAAACCACGAGGCTGTGCTAAAAATTAACACACAAGGAATTTCCGATGGGCTGAAAAGGTGTGAAGGGAGCTCTGTGCGCATTGGCATCGCTACAGCGAATTAAGAGAAGGTTTTGAAAGAAAACGATATGTAAGTATTTCTCATTTTATTCCAAAACGTCAGTACTCTTCCCAATAGCTGAAGCAGTCAATCCTGAAATCTATGCTGGATTGTATCATCTGATATGAAGTAACAGAATTAAACTATTTTATAATTTTCTTGATGAGGTGAAGGAAAAAGCAGGGTTTTCTGAGGAAAACAACATGAAAGGGTATAGGGAACAACTTCTACACTTTCTAAAGACAGTTTTGTTAGATTAGAGGTAGAAAGAGTGCAAAAGAATTTGACTGAAATGTGGGCTTGTTGGTTTTTTCCCCCCACAAGTGGAAAGTCTTTAATAAATCCCGGAGAAACAATTAATTGCCCGAAGTCTCACCCAAGCCTAATTGCAACATTCTGCTGGGATCACCAGAAAACAGGCACCAAGTCCTGCTCTAAACCAGTCCTGCCACGTGAAGGGATAATACACGAGGTTATTTTTTTCCCCAAAATGAGTTGTTCGTTACCTTACTGCTTTGACTCACTATTCACAGAAGCAAAAACCAGATTTTATGTAACTAAACACCATGATATGCTTAAACCTGTTCAATACGATGACACACATAAAAATGTCAATGGTTCTTAGTAAATTACTGTTTACAGACTGCATCTAATTAAATGTGGCTCTCACCTAATTTCCTGTAACAGAGAATTTTGAAAAGTTACATTTGCGAGAACAGTATTTATTGCGAGCTATAACTTTTGTTCAATGTGAATAATAAAAGATGCATTATTTTTGTTATTTCCAATAAAGATGTCAAAACCATCAAGGCTCATTACGACAAGCTGCAAACAGGATATTGTAGGGGGCAACAACACGATCTGAACAGCAGCTAAACTGCATTGCTCTACTTCTGATAGGATCTCTCAAAAGACATCTGGTTTTAAGGGACTTTAGGGCAAATCTTGCTCAGCTTCTCAGTTTTAAAGTTCAGCTTCTCAATTTTAAAGTCTAAAGTTTACCTACAATATAAGGAGAAAGAGAGAGAAATCGTATCCCCTCAGCTTCTCAGTTTTAAAGTCTAAAGTTTACCTACCATATAAGGAGAAAGAGAGAGAAATCGTATCCCATATAGCCTTTGTACAGAACCAAAACTTATCTATACGGGTCTGGCAGGTTAGAGAGGATAACGAAGGACAGAAATCACACACAGGATGCCTCAAGATTTAGACATTAAGCCGATTTAAACTGATGGCTTAAAAAATAAAATATCTAAGGGAAAACACTATGTAGCACCTAATCTTGCAAAATAATAAATATAGGAACGGGCTCCCAACATCCTCTGACCAAAGTTTGACAGTGCCTTAAATTGCATAGTTATCAAACAATTCAATTTCATTTGTCTGGGACAAAGCTCGGAGCTTTCTTTGTACAAAGACCATTCATCACTTACATAAACGTGATAAAACTAATCCCGATCCAAAGCTCCTTTGTGGGATTAATGTCCCTTAAAACAGGGAAATGAGACATTCCATTCCTTCTGGGAAAAATGCTGAAGGATTGGGAAAGAACTAATTTATGGCTACAAGGCTGCCGATGATTAATGTAATATCCCCAGTCTACAATGCAACCTTCACTTAATTAGTGCCTGTAATTGGGAGTTGTAAAGATAAGATTAATTGAATCTTGAGGATGTTAAAAGTTTAATACGTTGGAACATGGTTATTGTGTTATCTGAAACTGCAGACGGCAAAAAACCAAGCGGAGCCTTAAAGAACGGTCCACGGAGAGACAAAGAAAAAGGACTTGCTTGGATAGAAACCAGCGAGAGAGGAGGAAATTCCAGCTTGTAAAAAAAAAAGAGCTATATGTAATAATACACAAATCAGCACACCCTACCACAGAACAGCCCCTTGGTAATAGCTGACTCCAATTTCAGAAATTAACTTTTCTGTTCGGGCCGGTCTTTTAAGAAGCAGCACCTATACATCCTTATGCATTTATTCTTAGGAATTCACAAAATTAACTGCGAAAGAGAATTCAAAGTAGGTCAAATTCTGCTTTAAGTTACATTCACAAATCTGACTGACTTACATAAAGATAGGCAATAAAGGAAGAATTTGGGCTGCTATTTAAAACCAGGAAGAGAAACAGAAGGCTCCTACAAGTACAGCACAGATTGAGCAGCGGGCTCGATCTAGACATGAAATGATTGATTATGAGGTAGAATAACAACGGAGGCGACACGGAAAGATTAGAAATTGCCACAATCAGAGGAGCACTGTTACTGAGCACATAAACAGCCACGAAGGGCTGGCTTTTCTGTCTGACCTCACTGTGCCATCCTCCTGCCTTGGCCATGAAAAATGGCCAAGCACTTGTTGGGGACCGAGAGCCTTGACAGAGGGAGTCACAACGCTGTCATTCAGTGCCATTTGTTACCATCCCTCCTGCGACCACAGGCTGGGGCTCAGAGCGGCAGGAAAACATCTTTAATTCCAGAGACAACCGACAAGATTATGCACAGTAAAGCATATCCAATCATTTCCTTTTCTATATGCACGACTTTGAATACTTTAAGATTTTTTTTTTCACCACATAGTATGGTTATTTTCCTTTGGTACCCCAGCCTGAATACTAAATATAGTAAGCTTCCTCTAGAAAAATATGCAAAAAATCTCACCCTATTAAAATCTTTAAAAAAATAAAAATACATGTAAATCTGCTTCCCTTCTCAGTACCATGCAGATGACAGCAGAAATGCATTCTACAAAGACAAGCAAAGCAAAGAAAAAACCTTAGAACAAGCAAAACAGCACTTTCGTATCAGTTGGCTAAACCAGACTGTGGCATCCATGACAGATCTTGAACTGGGGTGTGCGGGACTGTCAGACTGAGCACTGCCCGATGCTTCACCCCTGATGCAGCAGCAGTTTTGTGACATGCCTTGAAATTAGAGAGAGCTTTAATTAGGAGGAGAGCAGAACTAACTACGATGCAGCTTTAAGCTTCCCTTGAACCACAGCGAAGGTGGAGCAAGGATTTTCCACTGTCCCCAACAACCTCAAGAGAAGCCGTGGTGGCAGCATAAATATTTTAACAGCGCTTCTTAAGAGCCAGCTTTTTATAGACTACTTCTGTCTGCTGCAGCCAACAGAAAACACAACAGTGCCAAAAACCTGACCTTGAGCCGCTGCTTCAAGTGTAGAATCTGTTCCTTTTGCTCCAACCTGGTTCTCCAATAAAAGTGAAGTAAATACGAACGTAAATGGTGCTAACCAGTAACAGTTTTATCAAACTTCCAAGAAACTGGGCTTGCAAACAAACCAAGAGACCAATGCCCTGTGTATGCACCTCCAAGGGTCAACCTTGCAGGGGATGACCAAGATAAAGGGCCAAGCTTAGCACGAAAACCTGGCAGTCAGCAATTTGTCCCATTCCAGCGTGAATAACGACGCGCTGCTTTGGCAGGGAACACAAGATTTACTGAATGCAGGGGGAAACATCTCGAGATAAAAGAAATTACAGCTCTAATGTCATCTTACACTGAAGTCAACAATCTGAGAGCAATACGCGGATCCTTTTCAATTACCTTTTGCTACTCTTTCAGGTCCTTGCAATGGATTAAGCATCACTTCTGCAAATGCAGAACTTGCTGTTCTACCCCAAAGACTTTCAGCTTCCAAACCTGTTGCATGAAACCTAAATCCATCATATCTGATCTCTACTTCTGAGTAATTTTCTGAGTTCTTGAGTATCCTTCAAAACTGATCTGACTGTAATTACCAGACATCAGGTCACAGGTACAGAAGGTATTTGCCCCAGGGCTTCAGATGTGTTAGATAATCATTTCCCTACCGAAGTAGTTTGCTTTCGTTAACATAAGTTTAACCGGGCGTCCCTTTTTTATCCTTAACACGAAAGAAAGATCCTTCCTATTTGCTGTAAAGGATGTCATTAATAGTGTAATTTTCTTCGTGTTTTGTTTATTCCCCTGGAATGGCTTGATGGATGCGGATAATTATCAGACTATAAAAGCCAGCAAATGTGCTATTTTCTATCGCTCTAAATCATCAAACAAATAAAGTGTGAAACAGCATTTTTGAATACAATTTTCCCCTCTAATGGTTTAGAATTATTATCACGAACAATGAAAATAAATAAGCAAATGTCTTGTGAGTTAAGAACTAAATGAGTGTGTCAGTGAAAGAGAGCAGACAGACCATCCGGGGATACAAGGACCAGTTTAGAAGCCATTCAGAGGTGACATAAGGAGGAATTCACTACAGCAGTGACAGCTTCCAGCATCAGGTGCCCTTCAGGGACTTTGCAGTCGCAGACTCTCTCCTCACCGCTGCTGCAATTCCATTTTGTCTTGCTGAAAGCTATTAAAAACTTTATCCATAACAAAGGCAACCCTGTCTTGTCTCTCTCCATTTAGGATGAGCTGTTCTCACCTGAAGAACATCCC